ATGGAGCATTGTCCGGCATGAAAATCATGTTTTTCTTGAAGGATGCAGACTTCTTCCTGTACCACTGCTTGAAGAAGGTGTCTTCCAGAAACTGGCAGTAGGACTGGGAGTTGAGCTTGACTCCATCCTCAACCCGAAAAGGCCCCACAAGCTCATCTTTGATGATACCAGCCCAAACCAGTACTCCACCTCCACCTTGCTGGCGTCTGAGTCGGACTGGAGCTCTCTGCCCTTTACCAATCCAGCCACGGGCCCATCCATCTGGCCCATCAAGACTCACTCTCATTTCATCAGTCCATAAAACCTTAGAAAAACCAGTCTTGAGATATTTCTTGGCCCAGTCTTGACGTTTCAGCTTGTGTGTCTTGTTCAGTGGTGGTCGTCTTTCAGCCTTTCTTACCTTGGCCATGTCTCTGAGTATTGCACACCTTGTGCTTTTGGGCACTCCAGTGATGTTGCAGCTCTGAAATATGGCCAAACTGGTGGCAAGTGGCATCTTGGCAGCTGCACGCTTGACTTTTCTCAGTTCATGGGCAGTTATGTGGCGCCTTGGTTTTTCCACACGCTTCTTGCGACCCTGTTGACTATTTTGAATGAAACTCTTGATTGTTCGATGATCACGCTTCAGAAGCTTTGCAATTTTGAGACTGCTGCATCCCTCTGCAAGATATCTCACTGTTTTTGACTTTTCTGAGCCTGTCAAGTCCTTCTTTTGCCAAAGGAAAGGATGTTGCCTAATAATTATGCACACCTGATATAGGGTGTTGATGTCATTAGACCACACCCCTTCTCATTACAGAGATGCACATCACCTAATATGCTTAATTGGTAGTAGGCTTTCGAGCCTATACAGCTTGGAGTAAGACAACATGCATGAAGAGGATGATGTGGACAAAATACTCATTTGCCTAATAATTCTGCACTCCCTGTAGAAGAGCCCCAAAAATAATTTGTTTTTTTCTTCACTTTTTACATTTCAGATCATTTAGGAAATTTAGTCTCGGTGTACTTTATATGGTAACTATCAGTGCATGCGTATCTATACTGCCTATCAGCCTTGAATCTGGTTTGCAGACTTCTTTAGGTTTATATGTTTTTAAATTCATGTTACTCTCACCAAGCTTTTTCTTTCTTCACTGGTACTTTGAGTCTTTGGCGGAGGCGTCAGAGACGTCTCAGGTTTACAACCCCCCCACCTCCCACCCCCATTCCATCTCCTGCTGTTACCGTAGTGACATGAGCTGCAGGAGACAGTTACCGTGGAAACGGGAAGCACGGGGATGCTGTTGAAGGGAAGTCACCAAGAGGAATGTGGGAGGAAGAAAAATAAAATAAAATTAACCCTCCAGACGTCCCTGAGGGCTACTTTCTTTTCTTTTTTATTCACACTGTTATTAAATCAGGTCGGAGGTAAAACCCGGGATAATTAGCTCTGCATGAACCAAGGAACTAACCTGAAGGAGGATTTATTACAGCACCGCTTCATTTAGTTTGACTCTCATTTTCTACTAAAAAATAATTTATTATGAGCTGAAGCTGAACCTGTTCACTGTTTTTACACAAAACCCAACAAAATCAGACACACAGGGCAAAGACCCAAAGCATCAAAGAGTCAAAGAGTGAAAGACTCAAAGCCCTTTTCAGTGTTTTCAGATTAACAGTCAGTAGGATTCGGTGTCTCCTTTTAGCTTCATGAGTTCTAACATCAGGAAGAAACTGAAGATGACTTCAGCCTGATCTAGGTAAACACACCTGAGCTCAGAGACAAAACTGCTGCTCTTCTTCACCAAGCTGGACAAAAAAATAAAAGCACCAGAATGATGGCTTCAAAATAAAAGAACATTCCTCCCACAACGATACATTAGACTTTAATCTTTCCGAACTACTTTGGTGAAATTATTGAAACAGAACATTAAATTATTAAAATTATTAGGAAGTGCTGAAATTAACTTAGAAAATGTGAATTTAATCCCAGATTGATGACTCTGATCTGTTTATTTTAGTTCTTTTAGTCATTCAGGAACAAAATATAATCCTCCCTGAAACTCTTAACCGGATATTTGAAGTTTTATTTTAGGGCCTTTTTATTTCTGTGACCTCACAGGGGCCTTCAGCTGGGGTCAAAGGTCACCTTCAAACCTTTACACGTTAGACTATAAGCTGCTGTTACTCACTCAAAGGTAAAGAAGAGGCCGCAGGTGAGCAGGATGAGGACCAGGGTCAGGTAGAAGACCCCGGTCTGCCGGGCCATCATGATCCTGCCGTCGCAGTAGAACCTGTTCCTGCCTGGGAACACCTGCCACTTCTTGCGGGGACTCCGGCTCCTGTGGCCGGGGCAGTGGGCCGGCTCGGAACCGTCTGCGGGGGGCGGGCAGCTGCCGCCACGGGTGCAGATCTGGTTGTACCGGCCCTGCTGGTCCAGAGCCGCGTGCTGGATCTGAGACATGCGTCCACACAGGTGAGCGCGCAGGTACAAAAGACTGAAACATAAACCGGAGGTGTACGCGCGCTGCCGGTGCCGCGTTCAGGGTCTCCGCGTGAATCTTTTAATAAGGAGTCGGAAAAAAGACAACGGATCCGTCATCTTAAAAGGAAACACGTTTTTTGTTTCGCGTTATTTTATAAACAAACACGAACTCGTGGTCAGACGCACGCGCGCTGGATCCACGTCCAAGAAGCTCCCCCAGCTCCCCCGCCTCGCACCCTGATCTGCCCCTCACAGGCTGCAGTCCAGGTTTAAATCCGCCGGGTCCGGGTCTGAGGACGGGAGAGGATCCAGGGTGTTGAATGGTCTGAGTCTGCGAGGAGGAGGAGGAAGAGGAGCAGCAGCAGGAGGAGAGGAGGACATGGAGAGCATCCCGATCCTCCGCAGAGCTGCACAGATCCTCCACTGAGGTGGTGATCCACTCTGACAGGAGAATAAACACGGAGGAGGTTCACCTCGCAGACAAAGCAGAGGATTTAGCGAGCCCTCGATAATTAATAATAATTAATCATTGTTCTACTGTACTCTCTGGGCTTTGTCTTTCATGTTACTTAAACGCTGACTGGTGAGTTTCTATGAGTATCATTCGTATTTCCGGGTTCGCGATTTCTGAAAGTAACTGAAAGTGGTCGCTTAATAGACCCTATGCACGAGAAAATGCTAACTTCCTGGTTTGAGACCGGATGTGGGGTTGTACATTTCCGGTAGCTTTACTTTGCGGTCAATCGCTACTGCGAAGATATACCCCAAAATCATGTTCAAAAAAATTTGAAAACGGAAAGATCGTGTTAAGTTACAAAGAGCAGAAGGTGGGAACACTCACCAGTGTTGTGTCATAAAATATCTAATGATCAATTTTAACGTTTAAAGCATTTAGATCGATTAGTTGTTTACATCACTCAACACAAGCAGAACTGCATCACTACATGCAGAAGACACATCGTCCACATTCAGAAGCACATCTCTGTATAGTGACTGGTCTTATGATTTAAACAGGCAAATGTTCAGCATTCAAACTACAGGTGAAGAATAGTCAAACCAGATGTTTCCCGTTATGTCGAGATCAGCTAGTCAAGTACACACCTACACAGCATGTCAACAAACCGTGAAAAAGCCACACAAAAAATGAATGATTGCTGGTAACGGTTTCTATACATTAGTATTTACAAAGGGTATTTTGTGACTTACCTTCAAAATTACAGCGGTCCCCCGCTATGACGCGGTTCACCTTTCACCTCACTGTTTCGCAGAATTTTCAGTGCAAGTTTGCATGCTTTTTTTTTTTACATCACATTGTGTCCTGCGTCCCGATTGCTGCAGACAATCTCCTCCGTGACGTCTCTCCTGTACAGTACAGAATCGCTGCATCGATCGCTAGCAGTGTGACTCTGAAGTGCAGTACTGTATGCTCACGATAAGGACGAAACGTTTTGCACCACAAAAAATAAAATTGGCTACTTGATTTCACCTATCGCTGGTTATTTTTAGAACATAACACCCGTGATAAACGAGGGACAGCTGAGAAATATAACATTTGAATCCCTTTTCTCTTTTGCTCTGAGGCGCGGGGGGAAAATATCGACAAGTCGATGAACATCATTTACAGATATATTGGGTAAATGCCCGAGACATCTATAGAAATGTAAATTGCCGCTTGATTCATTCATTTGCTTAACTTGTTTTGGACCGTAAACAGGGCACGAATAGGACACCGGAAACAAAGCTCCCCACAGGAGTTTCCGCACCGGAAGTAGCATATGCTAACATGCACATTTTCTTTTAAATATTAAACTTTATTAAGAAATAGTATACAGAACATGTGTACAACCAGAACAAAATTAACATATACCAGGGGTGTAATACAAAGAATTACAAACATTCAAATAATTGGTAATTACTACAAATAGTAATAGTTTTCATAGCCTTTTTGTTAAGTGATCCACTAATCAATTTTATGTAACATAAAACATCATTATAGTAATGTTTAAAATTAGGCTTTTTGTTACTGTATTTGCATTTGTGAAAATAAAATTTAGCTAAGATAACTAACAAGTTTATTAGAAAGTAAACATCTTCTTTTTTTGCCTTCAAAAGAAACAAAATACAACATTTTCTCATTTCACAGTAAAGTCTTTATAGAGATGTCCAGCAATGAATCTACTGAAGTCTTTCCAAAATGTTCTAGCGTATGAACAGATCCAGAAGAGGTGTTGCACAGTCTCAGGATTGTGGTCGCTGTATCAGAATCATATCCGGACTACAGATTCCTTTTTGTGTCCTTTAAAATGTTTGGGAGTGAGACTTCCTGTATGAGCCCGACATCGAATCTTTTTAAAAATAGACGATCTTTGGTTCGGGATTCCGTCTCTGTGGTTCTTTGCTCTGTGAAAAAAAAAAAACAAACTAAAAAAATCATAAAATAAAGCTGTTGTACTATTTGTACATTTAAGTTTATTCTGTGTTCTCCTTTAACATAAACACACTTGTGTTCCTAGCTGCTTTGTTTCTGCTCGGACGTTTTACGGAAACGGACCGAAGCAACATGACAGCTGAGGAAGACCTGGATGTGACCGCGGGAGCAGAACGAGATGAAGAGGCCAAACTGCAGGTGTTAAAAGGTACCTGAGGGGGTCACCTGACCGGACTGCTGTCCACGCTGGCAGGAGGTGTTCGTAGGTTTCTGCTGTATGTTTTCTGTTCGAGGCCACGACAATGTCGAGCTGCTGCGCCAGACTCCGCTGAAAAATCGGACATTTTCAGATTTGATTCGCTGTTAAAGGATTCCGCCGCATAGAAACACAAGATAAAGCATTTTTTCCTGAAGCTTAAATGTTTTCTGCTCAGTTCCGCTAAACAAAAAAGTCGAGTTGATTGGTTATTTCTGATGTAGTTACTAAATTATTTTCGTCTTCAGTCCCTTTCAGCAGATCAGACACTTGTTCTCAAATTCAAGTCAAATTATTTTAATGTCTAATCGAAAAGTAACTTCGGGTATCACGAGTTTTGGTGTTTTAGTACTTGTAATTAAAAATTGTAGAAATAAAGAACTTGCTTTGAGAGTTCTGCACAGAACAAATGTGATAGGGATTGTTGTCGTTGTTTTGAATTCACAGCAAGCCACCAGACCTCATTCAAAAAACATCAGTTTTCAGGAACGCCAGCATCGAGGACAGAGACTCGTGTGTTCCTGCAAATAATATCTTTTTCTAGACGACGCCAGACTCAGTTCAGAACTATTGCATTTTAAGGGTTGTCTTTATAAAGGAGCATTTGAGAAATGTTATAAAGTTATTTTACTCAGGCTGTTTAATGAATTTTCTTTGGAACAAACAGTTATTTTAAGTCTGTGAAGGTTCTCAGTCATCCAGGTCATCGTAGTCAAAGGAGCTTGTAAAGAAGGGCGTCTGGACTGAAGAAGCTTCTCGGATGAGAGGTGAAACGTCTTCAAGTAACTTAAAGAAGTTACTTGAAGACGTTTCACCTCTCAGCCGAGAAGCTTCTTCAGTTCTAAGGTCAAATGGTGGAGAGTCCCAGATATAAACCTAGTGGGAGTGACCCCCCACAGAGGGACAAAAGGACCCCCTGATGATCCTCTAATCGCCTGAGCCAAGGTGTGAAACTGGGTGTGGGTCCCAATCAGCCATTGTGTTTGTTAAATTTTTACAGTCTTAGTTCAAGCAGTAGGATCAAAGCCATTCCTTTGATCCTGACCACCTCTCCAACCACTCTGTGCTGGGGAAAGTTTAATTGTAGATACATCCTATCTGAAAGATCTGTTTCTTTTGATGTAGGCTTCCTGGGTTTTCGACCCTTTGGTCAGCAGGAGGTCTGACACACACACATTCTCACATAACACACACACACACACACACACACACACACACACACACACACACACACACACACATTCTTACAGAAGTTCACACACATATGCATACAAATGCCTTGTCTTAGGACCATGTGGGCGTGGCTTTGTTCTGACGTGTTTTGTGTGAACGGTCTCTCAATAAAAGGTAGCAGGAGGAGGTCAGATCTGGGGGTCATTTTCGTGGTGGACACAGACGAGGCCTCCCTTGCGCAAATAATCGATCGATCGACTGTCTTGTTTTCTTCATGATGAATAAGTCTAGAATTAGCGGGGTTTGTGGAAACACAGACCCAACACGATTCAAACTCTGTTCTATTTAAGGTTCTTGTGATTTCGGAAATACAAGGTGGGCCATTTATATGGATACACCGTAATAACATGGGAATGGTTGGTGATATTAAAGTCCTGTTTGTGGCACATTAGTATATGTGAGGGGGCAAACTCCTCAAGATGGGTGGTGACCATGGTGGCCATTTAGAAGTCGGCCATCTTGGATACAACTTTTGCTTTTTCAATAGGAAGAGGGCCATGTGACACATCAAACTTATTGGTAATGTCACAAGAAAAACAATGGTGTGCTTGGTTTCAACGTAACTTTATTCTTTCATGAGTTATTTACAAGTTTCTTTTTGTTCACAGCCATTGACATGTCGAAGAGGTTAACACGTGAGGAGCAGATCGAAATTGTGTTGATATCTGGTGAACGCAGTAACCGAGTCATTGCAGCAGATTTCAATGCAAGACACCCTACGAGACCACCCATCTCCCATGCTACAGTTAGCTTCACTCAGCAAGAGCCCACAGCGTAGCACTCGCCGCATGTCACTGGAGAGTAGCATTAGTCGAAAATCCCTTTGGCAGATATTAGCTACTCACAAATGGCACCCTTACAAACTCCATCTACTGCAGCATCTCAGCGAGGATGACCCAGATCGGCGCACAGAATTTGCAGAATGGGCAAAACAAAAATTGGAACCGGACCCTCAGTTCACGCAGAAGATTTTGTTCAGTGATGAGGCAAACTTTTATGTGAATGGTGAAGTTAACAAACAAAACCACCACTATTGGTCTGACACTAACCCACATTGGATGGATCCCTCCAAGACTGTTGGAACAGCAAAAGTGATGGTTTGGTGTGGTATATGGGGTACAACAATAGTGGGTCCATTCTTCATCAATAGAAACCTCAAGGCCACTGGATATTTGAAATTGCTACATGATGATGTTTTTCCCTCTTTATGCACTGAAGCTGGCACGTTCCCTGAGTTTTTCCAGCAAGATGGTGCACCACCACATTATGGGTGCCAGGTCCGAGGATTCCTAGATGAACAGTTTCCTGGAAAGTGGATTGGTCGTCGTGAGCCAGTTGAATGGCCCCCAAGGTCTCCTGATCTGACCCCCTTAGACTTTTATCTTTGGGGTCATCTGAAGGCAATTGTCTATGGTGTGAAGATACGAGATGTGCAGCACCTGAAACTACGGATACTGGATGGCTGTGCTGGCATTTCTCCTGCGGTGTTGCTATCAGTGTGTGAAGAGTGGGAGAAGAGGGTTGCACTGACAATCCAACACAATGGGCAGCACATTGAACACATTTTATAAGTGGTCAGAAACTTGTAAATAACTCATGAAAGAATAAAGTTACGTTGAAACCAAACACACCATTGTTTTTCTTGTGACATTACCAATAAGTTTGATGTGTCACATGGCCCTCTTCCTATTGAAAAAAACAAAAGTTGTATCCAAGGTGGCCGACTTCCAAATGGCCACCATGGTCACCACCCATCTTGAGGAGTTTGCCCCCTCACATATACTAATGTGCCACAAACAGGACTTTAATATCACCAACCATTCCCATTTTATTACGATGTATCCATATAAATGACCCACCCTGTACATCAGCAGCTGTGCAAAAAGATTCAGACTGTAAGGTGAAACTTCAGAGTGGCACCTGTTAGCCACTCTAACTCTTCCTCCTAAAGGTTTTTTGCTGTTTACATTTGAGAAGCTACATGTAGAAGCATGTCCTGTGTCTGCTTTAATGGAGTGGTTGTGAACTTGTGGCGATTTCTCACCTGAGTGAGATCACTTCCTGTGTGCAGGTGCAGCATTTCTGACTACGGTGGCGTCCGCAGGGATGATCGCAGGATTCGGCTCCACATTGGCGCTCGCCAAGAAGAAAAGCCCGGAGTGGTTCAACAAGGTAAACTTAACCTGAGCTCACAGTGCAGGTGTTTGTTTCTCTCTCAGAATCATAACTCAGTCAGAAACTCATTCATGAAGCACACATTTGTAGATTGTCATCACTAATAAACATCTATAAATCCTCTGAGAAACAGCAGGAAAACGTTCTAACTGCAGAACCTCACAGAGAATCTCCATACTTTTCACTTGTTAAAAGGTAGAAGGAGTAACGTTGTCACCCGGCGGGCGGGCGGCGTGGACACCAAAGTTTGTGAAAAACGAGGCGACGTAGATTCTTCAAATTGTTACCTACTAAATTTCAAATCTCAGTGACCTCGACATCGACCTCAAGGTCAGACGTCAAGTTTCCCTAAAATGTTGTGAATGCGATACGATGATGCAGGATTTTGAAATTAATGCCGTAGGTGTGTCTACTTGGAGGCAGCGCCGGCAGTATTTATAATTTTATTGAGCTGAGGCTAATCATCAGTCTTTGGAAACTTAAAAATTGTGGATATTTTAACTTGAAAATGTAGCTGGACTGAGGATCTGATGGATGGCACACACTACTTCCGGTCCTTTTCCCATCCATTCGGAGGTTTCAGCGGTGCTTGCGTGAGAAGCTACCGATGCTAACAGCAGCTTGTTTATGGCCTCAGCCTCCTGAAGACAATCGATGGCTGTCCGCACATCTGCGATGACGTCCGCCTTCCCTCCTGACTCGTCTCGACCTGAAAATAGACTTTCCGTGAAGTCCTGGCGCGTGGCGGCCACAGCTGTTTGAGTTATTGGCGACTGGCGGGATCCGATTAATGCTGACGCACATGTGAGATAAATTTGGCGTGGAAGCACAGACGGATCTATTTCAGTCACAGACTCGTCTTTGTGGTCGTCTCTGAATCGAAGCCTCAGGCTGAGCTTCAGTTAGGAAATGTAAAATCTGATTAGAGGGTTGAGGTCATTAAAGTGCAGCTTTTACTCCGTTTCAGCTGAAAAGGAAAGACGTCAGCTGTGCTTCCTGTCCTCAAACATGGAGGTTGTAAATCCTTCAGGGAGGTGATGGAGGTGTGTAGAGAACATCTTGCACAGATGAGCTTTTATTTTTTCCTCAGATTTCCTTCTGAGGAAATAATGGCCACCAGCACCAAACTGTTGAAGAATTGGAGAACCCGAGCACTGGAGCATCCATTAAAACGAGATAAAGGTGTAACACTATTGCAGTTCATGGCGATTGTATGGGTCATTTTCACACTGAAGGAGTTAACCTGATGTCACTCAGAGCTTCAAGCACCTGTTAGCCATGAGTCACCAAAACACCTGAGTGAAGAGCTGAAGTTAGTTTTCGAGAACCCTTCAGGTTTGTCTGATTGGCGACCTTCAGCAGCAGCTCTTGGATTTTTTTTGCTCACTCTGAGGGTGAAAGTTACTTATTTTTCTATAAAGACAGGTTTTACAGATCTACTATAGTTTTTTTTTTTGCTTTACATTGCACTCTTGGCCCCAGAGAAGCTTAACGAGGAGATCGTGCTGCCACTCCTACTGCTAGGCCAGTTAGCCTCGAGGAGCTACAGAGATGTTTTTCTTTTAGAGCTGGAGCCGTCCAAGCGATCATCATGAGGTGTGAAGCGGATGAGCTCGGCGAGAGGGAGCACCGGGAGCTGATGCGTTAAAACGAGAGAGATTGCCACGCTCGGACCACATGTGATCGAACCGGGCTTCAGGATGCAGCAGGAAGTGATGTGGAGGGACGGCACAGACCGAGAGCTGACGCAGTCCAGGACATGCTGCAAAAACATTTCTGTGATTCTGTGATATTTATCTGTGAGCTGCTGGAAGGGGTTCATGTTTGTTGGAATTGTTCCAGTTTGGTTCAGCACAGTTCAGATTCCTCCATCATGTGACAGAGAGGATGACCTCACACTGCTCCACCAACCGGACATGCAGCTGACACTTTAACGTCCGTTTCAGCTATTTGTTGAATTCCCTCATGTTTTTGGCTGTAAAAGTAATTTCACAGCTTCTGGGAGAAATAATTCCCGTAAGAAACGGGGAAACGTTTCTCCCACTGAAAACGCTACGTCCAGATGAACAGAATCAACTTTTGGAGAATTCCCGTAAGACCAAATGCAGCTGTAAAACCTGATGTCAGATTTTTTCCCTGCTTGTTTCCTGTTCAGGGCGTCACAGCGACGGCGGCAGTCCCGGAGAGCGGCGCATCTCTGGCCCTCAGAGCTCTGGGGTGGGGCTCGCTGTTCGCCTGGTGTGGAGTAGGCCTGCTCGGCTTCAGCGTGTGGAAAGTCCTCGGCGTTCACAGCGTATGTACCTGCAAATGGCTCAGTGCTGACTTTTATGTTTATTTCATAAATAATGAGCTTTATTCAGTCAGGATTTTATCACCTCTTTACCTGAACTTTTCTTTAAGGATTATAGTCTCTGAGAGGAAGAACAATAAATTTTGTGAAATAAAGGCAATTTATTTATGAATAATTTCTACAATCCTACCAATAAAATTACAATTTGGACATAATGTTTGAAACATTTTCAGAAGAAAGTGTTGAACTAAAATTCTGAGAACGAATTTTAGTTGTTAAAGTAAAAAAAAAGGTCTAAAGAGAGAGTAGTTGATGTAGATGAGAAAGTTAGACTTCGTAAAACTAAACTAATTAAAACTTTCTTAATAAAGAAAAATCAAGTTGTAAAATTAAATTATTTAGAAAAATAAAATAATTGCACATTTTAATGTTATCAAATATTCAATTTACTGAAAGAATATGAAAAGTTCTCATTCTTGTCTTTATCTGTTTTTTCTTTTTTGTTGGTATAATGTTTCAGCTCCCAGAGTTCAGACAGAAGATGCAGTCCTTCTTCCCGTCCATCCCAAAGAGCGACATAGCTGGATCTGAACCTCTGGACTGGGATGCAGTCTTCAAGTCGAAGTGACTCAAATCATCAGTGGGGTGAAATCGAACGTGTACGCCGGCGTTTCTCAGACACTTGGCAGCTTTTTGTTTTTTTCTGGAAGCAGTGGAGGAGCCGAATGAACCTACGAACCACTTTGATCCCAGTTTGGTTCTAATTTGGTTCCAGCTTGTCGATAATGGATCAGCTGTAAGACGAACAGACTGAGTTCTGATTAGTTTTCCCCACCGATGGAAGCAGTTCTAGTAAAGACCATGGAAATGATATTTTTCTCTGAATGTGATTCTATAATTTCATTCTGAGTTGCTGCTTTCTTTGTGTTTTTTTTGCTGCTGGCAGTGTTCAAAGCTGTGAGATGAATGTAAAGAAGGTAGAACATTTCTGAAAATACTGTGTGAAAGGATCAAAATCAGGAATAAGAGGTTGAGAAAACGTTCAGTGGAGTTGAAATATTTAAGGAAAAGATAAATGCAGTTAATATTGAGCAGCTGCAGGCAGTTATTCTTTTACAACAGAAATCACTAATGAAATGTGCTCTTTGCACCTTTTTCTTTATGTATCGCTCTGATGCCTCAACTAATTTCTATTCAAAGTACTCAGGATGTTGACAGCGTCAATCAGCACGCTAAGGTTAGCTTAGCATACACAGCATGTATCTGACAGCAGCAGCTTCATCACATCCAAGTTATCTGTTTCTTCGTCATGCTGGTACTCCAGTATACAGTTTGTACATGCTGCATTCTCAGCTGCTGTATGAATTTATAACGTCTGCGTAGCCATGGATATCTGTTTTTCTAATAAAAGTAGAGGTCCCAGCACAGAGCCAAGGGGAACTCCACAGCTAACTTTTGTGGCTCCTTGTTCAACAAACTAAAATCTATCAGATGTACTGGTGTAATGTGGTTCTTTTAGGTCCTACATGAAAGTCAGCACCAAATTAAGGCCAAAGTAAACAAGCTCAGAGCTGCGCTCACAGTGCTCAACCAGAGTTCATGTACATTTATTCTTTAACATGTCGTGGAACATATAAAGATCTCATACTGAAGAAACAGCATCTGTCAAATCAAACAGGAGACGTTCTGGATGTAGAGATTTTCTTTTTTTCCTCTCTCTTTACATTTCTTATAACTGTTTTGATGTCAGCAACATGATACAAGTACAGTTCTGCCTGCCCTGCCCCAACTGACCCCCGTACCTCCTGTACATACAGTCTCTCAAATCAAACACACCCTGTCAGATCAGACCCCATGAAACATCCTGAAGATGAGTTTTTTTGTCCTTAAATACAGAAACTCGAATGTTCAGAGTTGTGATTATAAATTCATAGAGAGTCGGGACGCCATCTTCTGGAGCTCAATGCACATCAACTATTTACAGGAGGAGGATGACGGTGGAGGGATCTGATTGGTGGACAAAACAAAGTTCTTAAAAACCCATTGGCTGATACTGCTGTGGTTCGGCAAAAATACTGATGGTCAAACGGCAGATGGTCAAATAATTCACATTAAAAAAAAACGCCCAAGCAAACATATTGCACCAGAACAAAGTACGTGACTGAACATCAGTATTTCCTCTGTCATACCACGTGAGAAAAAACAAAAAAAGACCTATCTACAACACTATTTAAATAACCCCACCCCCCCAAACAGCCTTGCAAACAGAAAGGAACAACCACAAATGTTTAAAAAAAAACATTGAAGAGAGCCGGAACCCGAGCCACCGTCACACTTTGGTTCAAACGAAACAAGAAACCGACGAAACAATTAGAAAATTAAAAATACAAGTATTAAATATTTTGTATTAAAATTACTTAAAAATTCCAAACAAACATTTGCAGATGGAGTCGGAGCTTTATAGATTCTATATATATTCATTTGTATGTAAAAACATTTCTTTTCTGTTCTTAAATAAAAATATAATAGGAGCCAGTTTATCACACGGGCGGAGCTGCTTACAGTGCTACTGAGCACGCTCCGTGGTGGTGTTTGTGTCATGAGTGGCCGATTTTAAACAGTACTTCACACATGATGGCCGCCACAGAGGAGTTGAGTGCGGATGACAGTGAGATGTCGAGCAGCCGGCTCTCATATAGAACAAACTCCGTCCGGTTCTCCTCTACCCGTGCCATGGCCAGCAATGCTTTGGCGGCGCGGCACATCATGTTGATGCTGGGCGGCTCTGGCGGCACAGCAGTGTGCAGCAGGCTGTGCGGGTTCTGCTGGTACTGGGCCATGGCCACACAGTCCTCCAGGAAGCCAATGAGTGTGCCCACACTGCCTTTTTGTTGGGCAACCGCCCTTGCCGCCGTGGGGTCGCCCTGCGCAAGGTTGGACAGCACAGCCACTGCCATCTCCCGGCACACCTGACTCTTCCTTTCGCCCACCAAACGCACCAGTGTGGAGAAGAGCTTCTGCTGGCGAATAAAGGGCGGCGTGGCGAGCAGCAGGTCCACGTTGCAGTCCTTAATGCTCAGCTTGCACAAACACTCCAACACGAGTCTCTGTGGCGTGAGTGACGAGAAGCCGCCCATCGTGGAGAACGGGTCCTGCGCCTCGGCAGATGGGCACACGATCCAGTGCAGTAGCCCGTCCAGGATAGGCAGGCAGATGCTCTCTGGGTACAGCGACAGATCCAGCTGGCCCGAGATGTTGGCCAGCGTCACCAGTGTGTTCTCCCTAAGCGCCGCCAGGCAGTCCCACCACCACTCGTCCCGGCTGCATGCCAGACCTTGCTCCTCCTCCCGCTGGTAGGTGGGCGGAGTCCGTTTCCTGCGGGGGTGGCGGTGGTGCAGCAGCACAAGCCGGCCCAGGATCAGCACCAGCCCAGGATGCCGTGATAGCATGGCGTCGTTCCCGGGCACAAAGGAGAGGCCGCGCACGATGTTGGAGATGCAGACGCAGCGTTTGGCCAGCGCGTCCTGCCACGGCTCAGCGGTGGACAGCGGGGCCTCATCCCAGCAGCGAGGCTCATCCTCCAGCTGGCTGATGGGACTGTGAGCTTGTGAATCCTGACCTCTGACCTCTGAGCGGACAAAGAGAGCAGAGTGAGATTAAAGGGGCAACAGAGACACCTAGTGGTGGAACAAATTGTAGATTTTTAAAAATTAATTGAATTTTTTTTTTAAATTGCAAAAAATGTAAATTTATAAATGTCAAAACATAATGTTCCATCAAATTAAAATTGAGAAACAAGTCATAACTTCATGATGTTAAGTACTAAAATTTTGCAATTAAAGAAAAATTTAAAAAATTTAAATACTGTGACATAAAATTTTTTAGAAATGTAAAATTTGTATTTAATGTAACTTTATTCCTCCGTCACTAAATTATATAATTTTATGTATTTTTTATTTATTGTAGATGTAAAATTGCAAAATGTAAGAAAGTTAGAGGATGCACAGTTTCAGGATTAAGGTGATAAAAAGTTTCCTTTAAAGTCTGACAATCAATAATCACTTGAATCATTTTATTGGTGATAATATTGATAAATGTCCATATCTCCTCTCTTCAGGTCTTACCTTCTCCTCCGTCTGGCTGGTTTTGCTCTTCTCCTCCGCCCAGCTCTTCCTTGCCTGTTTCACCCTCTTGTCCCTCTGCATTCTCTTCCCACTCGGGTGGGTGCAGAGGGACAAAGTCTCCTGTGCGGGACTCGAAGTGTGTCAGGATGTGAGTGGTGGAGTCTCCTCCTCCGGCCTTCCAGTGGAGGAGGCCGCTGATGAAGCCATTGGGTCGGTTCAACTTGGCCCAGCGCTCCTCCACCTCCTCCCACCCATCGCCGGTCTCAACCCTGATTGGCAGCTTGTCGTACTTGCTGGCCTGCTGGAGGCGGGCCTCTGCTTCCTCCATGTGCTCCTCCTCCTTCACCTGTGCTTCTTCTTTGACCACAGGTTCTTTCACCTCCTCCTCAGAAGGCATGAGCAGCGGTGGCGGCATGTCCTCCGCCTGCTCAGCTGACCACCTCTGAATCTTCTGCTCCAACGCTGTCTGGCCGTTGGATTCTGACGCAGCGGCTAGCAGCTCCTCTGTCACCTCCTCCTCAGGGAGGGGCCCCAGCAGGGAACCCTGCCTCACAGTTCCCACTTCATATTCCTTGAGGATGCCGAAGATCTGGATCAGGCAGCGGCGGTAAAACTCCACAATGAGCTCCAGGAAGCCCGGCAGCTGCAGGAGGAAGAGGAGAAAGGTCAGACTGACAGACATCAGACACACGGACGATGAGCAGTGAGGAAGATGAGGCTCTGACCTGCGGGAGGCTAAAGGAGCCGACGGTGCTGTCATCGTACAGCAGGATGTTGATGGTGTCCAATGCCCATGTGCTCTCTGCTAACAAGCCAGACTTCAGTGACATCATCACCCGCCACGCCTCTGGGGTTCCTGACCAATAACAGCACAGAGTGAGTGTCAGCTGACCCCGGCTGCCTGCCGGCTGAATGAAAACCTGAAGAAGAAACAACTCCCTCTGATGTGTGTGTCTCTGTGTGTGTGCCGCACCTGTGTCCTTAGCGGTCAGCCGTCGCCGTGGTTTCAGTTTGGGGGGCGTGGCCTCCACAGAGCCATGGGGGAAACTGACCTCCCTGTTGATGAGTGAGACGGTTTGAGAGGTCAGCGGTCCCTGCGGCGCTCCCAGCACTGGTGGTTTCTTCATGGAGGGAAGGTAGGGTGCGCTGTTGGGTGACAGCGAGCTCCCCATGGGCCGGGGAAATGTGGAGGGGCTATGAGAGCGAGTCACGTGGTTGGGGATGGTGGGTGTGGCCTGGAAAGAAGCGGGAGGCTGTCTGGAGGGCAGAGGAGGAATGGAGGTGGCGCTGGCGGCTGAAGAGTGGGGGGGGTATGGAGTCTGGCGCTGGCTCGGGTGACCGGGGGCCCACTGGTCGTCCTGTGGAGCCCTGCTCTCCTGGTCATCCCCTCGATAGGCGGGTCCCTGACCCTGCCGGCTGTACGTATAGCCCATATCTGTCCTGGGGTGCCACATGTTGGCCTGCGGCACTTCCCCGGACCCCCCAGACACCGCCGCCGGCCCTGAGCTCATCATGCTGTGCTGCGGGGGGCCCTGGCGGTCGCGACTGTAAGGATACGGGTACTGGCCCTGGATGGGCCGGCGCTCAGGGCCCATGTAGCCCCCACCTCCTCCCCCATAGACGGGGAACATGTCGGGCTGCTGAGAGCCATACTGCTGCACGCCGAACGCCTCGCCCTCGTGACGCTTCGCTGGCGGGTACATCCCCTCCATTGGACGCTTGTATCCCTGCAGACAAACACCAGAAATGAATCCAGACCTGAAGTACCCCCAGACCCCTCAGTGACGT